CCCTATTAAGGACTCCGGAGGAGGTTTGCAAAGTATTCTGCATATTAATGGTATTTTAAAATGGTCCCATTCAAATCCCGACTGGGTTTAGTTCCAAATATATGATACAATTTTATTCCATTTGTAAATCATCAAGGATCTTTTTATATCTTTTAGCCTTCGGGGTAGAGAATTCCAAGAGTTTATTACCCATAAAGTAAAATATCATTGCCTTTACTTTGTCTAATAACTAGCGCTGTCATGATTCATGGGGTCTGTGACCTGCACAAATCTCACAGCCATCTCTGCACCCCAAACTTTGACATCCCTCACTGTCTGCATCACACAGTTTGAAACTTCATTCCATATTCCTTGATGAAATCCTAAGCTCTTCACAGACAGGGACGCTATTCTACATCCAGTTTTCAGAGTTGACTAGTTCCACTCTTCCTGCTGCCAGCACCTTCCCTGGCACCTCACAGCAACATAAATCCTTGTTGAACTGAACTGAACTCTGGAAAGTGCTTCAGTCTCTCTATAAGCATTGACTCCATCGACTTCTGATCTTACTGCCTCTCTCTTTTAGAAATTCTAATGAATGCTTGACATGTTGGCATGGGGAAATACCATCAGTGCTCAGACTTGCTTCTCTGTAGGGCTGTTTATAATCTTCTTCTTGGTCTATCCGGTGGGCTCTGACCAGCGCTGCAGGCAAGATTCTAACTTTGAAGCAATTAAGTTCCAAAGTAAGATGCTCTACCATGTTTCAAAAACAACTTTGGACAAAAACATTTTGGCTTTTTTTGCCATAGCAATAAATTGTCATGCAACATATTATTTTAATTTTACTTCTAACCAAAAATCAATCAGATACATTAAGCATAAAATACACAGAAAACAGCACCATCAGCATTCTCAATCATTTCCTTTTCTGTTTTAAACAAAGTGAGCGTTTTCTGTCTGTGTAAAATGTAAAGGAAAAAAAAAAAACACACTTCAGTAGAACTAATAACTGGATTTAAAAGTAGACCAAATAACAAAAACGGCATTGGGCTGCTTGAGAGTTGTATAGCAGATGGAGAAATCCCCAGACGAAGGGCCTGGACGTGGCCACTAGGTAACAGTTGATAACCTTGAAAATTATTTCACTTTTTGCAGTACTGAAAGGCCTAATTCTCTACCCACTCCTACTATATTTCAGTGCCAATTTGAAGAAAATGAATGATTCTAATTTTGTATTTCACAATCAGCTTTTAGAGTTAGTTCCGTCAGTGTTTAAACAGGCTTGATGTAGATTATTGTGTAATTATGGCAAATGCAAAATAATGTAATTAATCTTAACCACTTCACCAAATTAAAGTGTCATAAAAGTAAAAAACAAAAAAGGCAATGTGTATAAGCACATGGAAGATTTTATAACTAATTATATTTTTAAAGTTCTATAGCAACAAATATCCAACGTATAAAAGAAATGGAACCATATCCTTGGATACTCTCCCAGGAGCATATAAACCAGCCTGGGAACTGCACTGTCAATTTTTAGAAAATATTGTTTTCAAGCCAACGAATACTAACTTTAAGGTTAGATAAGCAGTTGTTGAGGAAAACGTGCCACCTGTTCAGGAACAGCTGCTTCTGACTGACACAAAGCAGGCAGGTCACCAGGGGATACAGGGCCTGAGGAAAAAGAGACACGGTCACAGGATAATTTATCTTTCAATAAACCAGGTAACACCATTCTCTGCACCCACCACCCCACTGTCTCCTGCTGCAGCCGTGCTGGCCAAAGAAACTGGACAATGGGTAGCACAGTCCGGGTGGGCAAAAGGTAGAGTTGAACAGTGTGTGAATACTTCCTGATAATCCTATGGATGGAATAATCTAGAACTGGTGCATAGTGTATAAGTTCCATGTATAATAACGTGGAAATCTGATTCACTGTTTTAGTCTTTACTTTTGAATTTTAAAAACAAACTCATCATCTTAAATAACTATCTCAATCCCCAGAAACAAAAAGGAAGGCACATTAATTTTGCAAATGTTATTGGCTTTTTCGCTCATAAACATCTACTACCTTGTCCCTCCCTGTCTTAGAGGTAGGTGTATATATTTTCTTTTGCGTGCAACCTTCCTGTAATTAAGCAGGATTCCTAAAAGAAATGTTATTGCATTGGTAAACGCCACCAAGATGAATTTAACCACAGGAGGAATTTGCTTACGACCAAATAAACAGAGGTGCTCCTGAGTTCTTCCTGCTGAACTGGGCCAGTTTCCCACAGCAACTTGTGAGGACAGAACAGCTTAATGGATAGTGTCCCCAAAACACAAACGCAGAACCCAGATAGTATATACCTTCATGGCTCACAAAAATTGAGGTCAGTGAAGATTTAAATAAAAATGTAACTGGCTCACCTATTAACTGGAATTAGCAAGAAACAGTTGCCACAATTAGATTAAGTGCTCCATAATTCATTAACTTTTTTGAGTTTTCAAATTAATTTTGTTTTAAATGGACTTATTTGAACTACCACTACCATTGAGTGCAACCCTAATGCCAATCAGTAATCACACAAAAAAGCATGGAGTTAGTCACAATGACCACAGAATGCAGACAAATGAGCAAATTGCCACCATTACCCACAAAGCAACTCTTGAGTATCTGCTCAATCATGGTGGGGACGCTCAGTCTTTGGAGACTAACATGAACCGGGCCAGCAACCAGCCAGGCCAAAGCAACCTGCTTCCTCTGGGCTTTCACAATTATAGCTGGTGCTCATTCATAAACCAGAGCTTTATCTACCACAGAGGGTAAAAGGTGGTAATTTAAGACTTTCCTATGTTGTTCTTCAAAGCCTTCCCAAGAATTGTTTTTTGGGCCTTCAGAGAATCACTTCTATGAACAACTATCTATTTCCCAACTCTCTTTCCTGCATGGTTCAATTTTGATTCTGAGGATCAGGATAGGAATTAGCACATGCAGGCTCCTGGGGATCGAGAAGATAAATTGTTATAAACATCATTCTTCAGGTTGGAAAATATTCTCAGAAATTAAAACAAAAATCAAGTTAAGCCAATCTCAGAAATGAACAACAGAATCCTTAGGATTGCAAAGGTCATGGGATGTGACACAGCCTAATGGCCTCCGACAAATGTGTCTCAGTCAGAGTCAACACTAACTGTGTGCCACAGTTTCAAATGCTACCTCTTCTTGAGAGAGCTGTTGGTAATTCCACCACCTGGGAAGTCTTATAACCTTTGAATAGACTCCTGCCTGGGAGCTTAGTCTCTGCAGTTCTATTTCTGTTTTGGATTTTCTTGTAGTTACTAACCAAGGAGTGCTTCTTTCGAGAAGAAAGTTCCAACGTGGTGTCATACAGGCTTTCCACAAAATTTCTAAGGCAGGGGACGTTTACTTCATTTTTAACAGCCTGAAATAGAGATGTATGTGAATATTATATCTAATGAAATTGCTGATGATGTAATCCAATTTGGAGAAGATTTTAGAAATGAAAACGTAACTCACGGCAGCTACTGGAACAAGGATTTCAACAAAAAGCCCCGCCAAGGCATGCTTAATATCTTTGTCTTTGACCTCGAGGAAATAATGTGCACATTCCTAGAACACAGAAAAAGAATATGGAGAGGGAGAGAAGATTGACAGGAACATATGAGGTATATGGAAACAAATTCCAGCAAAAAGCTCCGAATCCAATCATACATAGCAATATAGCATATTCCATAATCTTTTAAAAATCACTAGATTTAAACACTTATATTGAAATCTAAATGTTTGTAATGGCCTCAATGACATTTTGCAAGGCTTTTTTTTTTCACTCTTCTTCTATTTCAAATCTCAAACACAGAGCTTCTCTAACCAGCAAACACACATTTATCCACTGAATTACTGATGGATTCATTCAATCATTTGCTTCCAATAATTTTCTACTCATTACTTACTGTGGGTGGAGGGGCACTGGGTCCTTGGTTAGCCCACAAACACAGATGCCCAGAAAGGTGAACATGGGACGAGAGGCAGAGGACATTAAACTTATTTTGGGCCCCATGCCTGACAGCCTCGGGCACAGAGCTGTTTACTTGTTCACCCTGACATTTTAGGCATGTTTATTATTCAGATAGTTGCATAAGCAAGTCTAGAATGTTTCCATTCCAACCTCAGACAAGGAAGCTTTTGGAATAGCTCCTCAAGAAAGGATGCCATTGCCTGTGGACTATAGTCTACATAAGGGTATTCTTGGTGGCCCTGGGTCTCATGCTGTAGTTGGCCTGCCCAGAATTCTGCCTGATTGTTTCCCCTTACTGGTCTTCTTGGTAGTAACTTACTGTGGTCTCTATCAGGTATTGTTGTCATTAAGAGTCCAGGGCTACATGCATTTGATGATACACTGATGCTACATTAGCTATTACCCCTTATTTTCGGTTACCCTCGGGAAGACTGACGGTTCCTAAAGTTTTGGGTTCCTTGGGTTCCTCAGCCCAAGATGGGAAACACCAGCGCAGGAAATCATCAAGGTAGTTTGCCTACACAGAATGGTGCTTTACAGTTCCCAGGACAGTGGCCTTCTCCTTAGTTTGCACATGTATGAAAATACTCTCATGTCTTCTTTAAGTCCACAGATTTATTAATGAATGGGACAAAATAATAGAATTGTCTCCTCCTCACTACTGCACTTGCCTAGTCTTGTTTTTTTTTTTTAAAGAATATTTAGCAGTTACTGAGCGCTTATCCTGTGCTCAGAATCCTAGAACCTCTCTGTAAGGTTGGTGCCATTACTGCCACCTTGCAGATAAGGTTAGCAAGGCTGGGAAGGGTGACGTGTGACTGGCCAAGGTCACAGAGCTGGCAAATGTAGGGGCCTGAATTAAGTAAAACCCAAGAAGTTTGATACACAGCCTCTTTCTCCCTGCCTCTCTAACAGTTAGCAAAGCATAATTTACATACCATGTAATCTACCCATTTAAAGTGTACAATGCACTGGCTCTTAGTGTATTCACAGTTGTATTTTCATGACCACCATTATATTCAGACCTTTTTAATGGCCCCCCAAAGAAGCTCTGAATCCCTTAGCCATCACTTTCAACCTTCTCATCTCCCCCTCATTCCCAGCCCTAGAAACCACCAATCTACTTTCTGTCCCTAGGGACTTGCCTGTCCTGGACATTTCCTGTAACAGAATGTCCATATATAATAATATAAGCTGTGACCTTTCGTGTCTGGCTTCTTTCACTTAACATGTTTTCAAGTTTTGTCCGTGTTGTATGGACTTTTTATGGCTGAATAATATTCCATTGTACCATAATAATATTCCATATACCACATTTTGTTTATTCATTCATCATTTTATAGATATTTAAGTTGTTTCCACTTTTAGCTACTATAAATAATGCTGCTATGAATATCTGTGTTCAAGTTTTTGTGGAGAGATATACTTTCATTTCTCCTTGATATATGCCTAGAAGTGGGATTGCTGGGTAATGTGGTCATTTATGTAGCTACCTGAGGAACTTCTAGACTGTTCTCTAAAGTGGTTGTGGCATTTGACATTTATACCAGCAATGTGTGAGAGCTCCAATTTCTCTACATCCTCACCCATATTTGTTGTCTGCTTTGTGATTATAGTTATCCTTGTGGGTATAAAATGGTGTAGCCTATGTTTATAATACCTACATCTATACTTTCTAGTAAGATCATCATCAAATCTAATTCCCAGCAGCATTAGAAAAATCCCCAGAGATACACAAGTTTCATAAACTCTAAGAGCTGCATATTCTGCTATGTCCTCATTGGCAACAATTCTTTTGTTATGTACCATGATGAACACAATAAATGTTACACCTATCTAGTTTGGTTGATTTTTTTAAAGTTAAAATTCCTTTTTATACAATGTGTAAAACAGCTTTCTTTATTATTTAAAGTTTCCATGCCTGTGAATGTTAATGTAACCAACCCAATGCTATCCATTTAAAAAAGTAAAAAAAAAAAAAGTTATATTTTATTTGGAAAACAATATGTAAAGTGGGTGAAAAGGAAAAATATAAACAAATAAGAAACTCCAATGTACATTATACTCCAAAGACGATGTGAAAAATTAAAAATAAAACTGTCTGCCTACAAATGTATTGGTCACAAAGCACTTTCTGAATTATTGAAGGTAGGACGTCTTTCCATATTGACATGCAAATGGGTTTTCATAGTCTAGATCCATCATTCTGGGATGGGAAGTGGTCATGTTGAAAGCTCCTAAGTTCTCCTGCCCAAGATATTACCTGCATAAACTGAAGAGAGGCCTCGAAATCCTCCACTGGATACATTTTAATTCGAAAGAATTTCATCCCCATTATCAAGCTGATAATGCTTTGAACCACGTATGGGCTCTGCTCTTTGTGCCGTAACTCTTTTAGCTCTGCCATAAATTTCTTCTTTACAGCAGGAAATCTAAAAAGAGAACGTAAGTGATTTATCAAACAGTGGGCAGGAAAGGCACTGCAGGGAGGGCCTCCAGCACCCAGGAGTGACCGGGCACAGTGACAGGGGCCTTCAAATCAGTTCAAGTACAGTGGCCATCATTTTACAAGGGTCTGATGTTTGGGATTTGGCAAAGAATCCAATTTTCTTTTTCTTTTCCTCTCTTACTCTGTAAGATGTTTAACATCTCCTTCAGGGTAGGGAGTGACCAGGGGTTATTCAGACTCTCTCGAGATGGCCTACTTCTTAAGTTGAGGGTGATGAAAAGCCTTATTTCCCTGGGTTTAGCCATTTCCAAAATAGCTGCAGGCCTCAGGGGCCTGAAACATCAAATTGTGAGCATGTGAGCAATAACACACGAGGTCAGCAATCTGTGACAGTGACAGCATGCGATTTTGGATTTGTGTTCTAAATGATGCCAAGAAATATTCCTACACCTATTTCCAAAGTTTTCTGTTGTTTCTTTTATAGTTTTAGCTTAATGATTATTGAAAAATAGATTTTTAGGCTAAAAAAATGCAGCATTAGGAAAATTATATATATGATAAAGGTGAATGGGCGATCTACGACATGCATGAGATTTTTTTGATTTAGTAAATGCAAAAACAAATAAACAAACAAGACACAGTCCCTATCATCAAGGAAAGTATTTATAGTGTTTTGAAAATAAAATAATACTAATTATAACCACAAAAATATTGTTATGTAGGCTCAAGGCTAAGATAGAAAGTTATTAGCAGATCTTCAAAATACCTAAGGGCAAAGGAATGTACACATAAAAATTGTTTAAACTACTTTGGAGATGGCTAGTTTAAAAACAAGCCCCTGCCCACCCCCTCCCGCACAAACACTCCAAAGAAAACAGCCTAAGATCTGTTGCATTTTGTTTCCTGAGAGTATCAGCCTGAGGTTCCATGAAAAATTAGAAGCAAGGCATGATTTGAAAGGGTAATTTGATAATACAAATTAAAGGTGAACAGAATCTGAAAAGTTTGGAAGTACTCCTGACACCTCAAAGTAGAAATTTTAGGACAGATAAAATAGGCAGCAAACACACAGGCATTGTTTCACTGAAAGGTAGTGTGGGGTGGGTGTGGTGGCTCACCCCTGTAATCCTAGCACTCTGGGAGGCTGAGGTGGGAGGATTCCTGGCCAGGAGTTTGAGATCAGCCTGAGCAAAAGCAAGACACTGCCTCCACTAAAAATAGAAAAATTTAGCAGGGCATCGTAATGGATGCCTGTAGTCCCAGCTGCTCCAGGAGGGTGAGGCAGGAGGTTCACTTGAGCCCAGGAGTTTGAGGTTGCAGTGAGCTACAATGATGCCTCTGCACTGGGGCAACAGGACAACACTCTGTCTAGGAAAAGGAAAGGGAACCACCCAGCTGATGGTTGGCAAGTGTGGTGTGAGGGGATTCTCAAGGGCTGGCAATTTTCTAGTTTTTGGCTTAGATGGGGAGTTTACATGGTGCTCATTTTATAACAATTTGTTTAATTGTTTTATGCATTATTCTTTAGGTTTGCTACATGTATTTTTCAATGAAAAAGATTTTAAGAAGATAGTAGATCACAAAATAAAAATAGCTTTAAGAAGATTTAAGTATCTTATAAATGGATATTCCCTGATGGGTTATTAAATAGTTAAGAATATTTCAGGGCATGTACCTGATCTGTGGTGGCATTTTGTGGTTTGCTACAAAACACCCAGATAGCACCCCAACTGACCCCTTTGGCATTTCTTAAGTGCTATTAAAATACAGGGTAGCCATAAAGTTCATGTGCAATTAAAATAGCTGACAGAAAATACTTGTTAATTTGTAAGTAAAACCTCATGGAGATTAATTACAAAGTAATATATTATTTTTTCAGATTAGGACATTCATAAAAATTAAAATGCAAACTTCATTAAGATGTACAAAAATCTACTTGGTGTCAGATAATATCTATTTGAGATTTTACAACCATACTCTTGAATATTTTGGACTATAAATTCCAAACTTCAGAGTCACCATTCTTTTGTGTATTTTACAGGAAAAAAAAATTGATGGTGAAGAAGATGCCGTCAATGAGAAAGGAAGAGAAAGAAATTTAAACTCTAGGCATCTTAGAAGTAGTCATCACTATCTTAATAAATCTATCAGAGCTGGACAAAATGCTTTAACAAATTGAATTTTAACTTAATTGACTCTGAAAAAGTCAATACTATGTGTGAATACCACTTACTAACAAAATTTTTTCCTTTCATGGTGGTAAGTGTGCAGTACTACCACTAACTAGTAAGATCAAAAATAGTGATTTTGCTAAAACTGAAATTTTGAACTATATACCAATAACTAGTCATAATGAGGAAAGTGTTTCATAACATTACCACTGGGAACTAGATAAATAACTTAAAATTATGATCATTACATTACTCAACTTTACTTAAAAGTATAATAATCGCTTTGTACCAGATAAGCATACACTCTCCAACCCCACCATCCTGGAACAAAGGAAGCAGTTGTTTTCTAAGGCCATGATAAAGTAAGGTCCTGGTGTACTTAGGAGAACGCAGTACTGTGATAACTTGTGGCATGACACGAGCTTGAGATTGCACCAACTATCAATTTATAGTTGTAATGTGTAAAGTGTGTATTTCAGTGAAGGTTAACTACACATTGACCAACTGGGAACACATCAAGGACTGTATGAGTCTGTGATCACTCCAGGAGCAGACTGGCCAAAGGTTGGTGAGTGACCACAAAGTACTGGGGCACTGTCCCAGCTGAGGCATTTCTTACTCCCTACTATTGCAGAATTGGGACAAATACTGACGTCATGAAAATAAAAAAAGCCACTGTTGGATAGCTAACACCGGCTTGGGGGACTATAAATCTGACCTAAGATGGAAATTCCTACAGCCTTGGAATGCTGCTTAGTTATGACAATGTTCTCAGCCCATTCACAAGCAGCCCAGAATCCCGTAGCTATGGAAGGTCATTCGGCAGTAACCAATACTGTCATGCGCAATTCACAAAAACTAAGAAAAACACAAAAGCCATTTTTGGCATATTAAACTTTCCAAATGACAGAAGAAGAGAATTATGCAGGAATAATTACAAAGGAATTAAAAAGGAATATATGGAGATTTTCAGGGTTCGACAAATCAGCCAATATACATATTAGTACCTCATTTTTTCCTAACCTTTTATGGGAATGAAATAGATACACATGAGTTAATTTGCTAGATAATTGTAGCTTTTCCATTCAAAATGTCATCAGTCAATTGCAATGGAAATTTCTCCAAAATGCATTATATCTTTTTTCTTAATGATTCATGAACCGCAATTATTTTAATAGGCTATAATAAAAATACAATACAGCCTCATGCAAAATGGCCCAGGTAAGTTTATTGCTGAATTCTTATGTGCGCTTTGGCTGGTTTCTTTTCCTTCTGTTGCCCTCAGCTTTTGAGCTTGATATTATTTCTCAGTGGCGTCCAAGAATCATTCTCTAGACATTACCTCTCTTTTCTAAAACTGATGTGTTACATGTTAGGAATAATTAGATAAGTAGATACATTTGATTTAATAAATCATGCCAAGGTGTTTTTTTGCAGGGGGGGGGGCAGGTAGAGTATATTTCCTACATTCTTGTCTACATTTGGGCTAGGTAAGATTGCTAAGTGCTTTTTTAAAAAAAAATTTTTTTTAAACTTTTATAAAGTGTGTATTTTGGTGCTACTACATTAGGAAATTCCAGCTCTTGAAGATAAAAATCTTTTTCTGAGAACTGCATTTCATAAGTCTCAGGGCATCACTGCGGCTTGAAGCGAGCCTCCTGGGGCGGGTCTACATCACATCTCTGGCTCATTTTCCTTAACCGAGGCATTCAGGACTTTGCCCAATTTGCTTCAGGGTTGGACAAAGTGAAGCTGGGTAAGTAGGGTGTGACATCACTTTTGGAAGGGGTATATTATTGTTAATAGTCTAACACTACTTTGTTCTAGCCTGCTAAGCAGTGCCATGGGGCCAGATAAATTTAGCAATGAGAACTTTCCCCCCAACTTGTTTCCATGACAGAGTCTGGGATGTTTTTAGCTCAGCTGAATTAAGTAAGGTCTATAGTAAATGGGACATTCCAGAATGGAATCTTCCCATTTATGGATGATATATTATAACTATCCACTCATAGACCATAGAAAACAGAACTTTAAAAACTGATTAATTTCTTTGAAATATTTTGGGAGAGAGAAAGTAATTTGGTTAGCTCCTTGCTTTGGTGCCATATCCTGAACTCATGGGTCTGACCCAATAGCCAAGTGAAAATGACAACTTGGTACCTGCCTTGGAAGAGCTTTCCAGTTAGTGTGAGAGATGGGGCACACCTGGCAAAAAAAAAAAAAAAAAAGCCCTGGTTCCTTGTAAGCTCACATCCCCCTATTCCTTAAGTTCGGGCCAGAAGGAGAGAGGAGGTACTCAGGTGCTATGGTAAAGGGTTCTGATGCTCACTTACTTGGCTTGTGCCAACACCCCGATGACTTCCGCATACAAGTCTGCCACGATGTGCATATTGCCAGTGTTAGGACCAAGGTACCTAAGTAAGGCATAAGTAGGCAAGTGAGGGGTCCCTAGTCATTTGAAAACAGCAAATCATTGATTTAGTTTTAAGCCCCCAACTTGTTCAAACATGCTAAGGTGTGAAATCATCTTACCCTTCTTTATATTTAAAGTGCTTGAAAGCCAAGTTAATAACATCGTGTATTAAACTGTCAATTACAGGATGAAGTGGAATCTGAAAAAAAGAAGACAGCTCAGTAACAGTACTTCCGATAACTGTATATGACAATCAGTAGCCGTCAGTAAACATAATTCATATGACCCCATATTTAGAAATCATAAACAGTTTAATAAACTTAGGCAGCCAAGACTTTAGGTTTTAGAACAATAAATATTACCTAAAAGTAACAATAAGTTTATTACCTACCTGTTTCAAAACTTCTATTAATACTAAAGAAAAAATAAAATCAATGGCGAGGTCCCGTCTTTCCATCAAATAATCTCGTTGTTGTTCATCACTGTAAAATTTAAATATTCACATTAAATGGCGCCAAACTTATTTTCAGACTGACATAATTCACCAAAGAGCTAGGACTTCTCCCCAGTGAACTGCAAACCCATTTTATCATTACAAGACTGGACTGGTAAATACACGCTAACACTCTATCATCAACGTGGCAAGTAGAGAGACATTAGATTTGGGCTCAGTATGTTTGACTTCACTTCAAATTTAATTTTCAACCATGTTAACTTGAGTAGGTATTGGTGAGTTTATAACCTCATCTTGTGGACTTTTCCAAAGGAGCATCCAGGAATTCTATCATCTTGTATATGTGATAATGCACTTGAGAAGGCTACCATACTAGGGGTGTCCATCAAAGGATCTTGAGAAAGGAGTTAAAGGAGATGGTAAGGAAATGAGAGGGTCGCCAGCTGAAGCAGCAGGACTGAGGGGTGGAGAAGGGATCAGCATTGCTTTTCTTTTTTCTTTTCTCCCTCTCTCCCTTTCCTCTTATACTTTTGCCACTTTAGAGTTAGGGAAAGGAGGGAAGAAGTGAAGAAGTGGTAGAGGAGAAGAAGAGAAAAAAGGCAGAAGGAAGAAGAGGTAGAGAGCCAAAGCCGTGTCATTCTGACTACGGGCTCGCTTGGAGCTGAACAAAGACAGACACATGAGATGACTGCTGGGCTTCCTGGCACAGAATAGTGGCTAAGAGCACAGTGACTCTGGTGTGGAATGGTTCTGGCTTAAAATCATGCCTCTTCTACTTACCAGCAATCTCTCCAACTATAAAATGAGAATAACAATAGTACTTACACAACTGTTTGAAAAGGTAAAGCATGTCAAGTATTTAGTATAATCTCCCAAATGTATAAGGGCTAATATTCATATATTAAATAAAACCAGTGAGGAAGGATGATAGGATTTGGACTTGTCAAGAAGATAGTTTCAAAATAAATCAAGACTATTTTAAATATGGAATGTTTTTCTCTTTAGTTAAGAGAGAATTAAAAGAAAGGAAAGTAATAGTTAAGATATACAAAAGAGTTTCTGGACTGCTCTTTGAGCAGGTCAAATAAAGGGTAGTGGATGACAGAAATGGTTAAGAGGGAAAGGTGCATCTTTACCTTGAAGGGGGAAATGTATCAACAGGAACTCATTCATTCAGCATCATTTATGAACAGCCCTGCCAGGAAGGAATTGTAGTGGGACAAAAGCATTTGTCTGAAGTCTTCTAAGACCCACTGGAAAGAGCTGCTGATAGTCGAAGGAAGGGAAAATCTTTGCAGCTGTCTTATGAAGGAGGCATCCACGAGTCAGCCCTTATACGAGATCTGACAATTAAGTTTGTGAACTTGCCACCATGTGCTTATGCTGGCACCACTGTACAAAACAGTTCAGTAAGGTTTCATGACTTTGGTATGTCAGGGTCTTACAGTTGTGTTCATGTTGATGTGTGGCAGTGTTTTGCTGAGTGGCATTTATTATTGTTGATGTGTTTTTGTGTGCTGTCATGAGAATGTGGGAACTTGAATTAGAGCAAAAAACAAATACTCGTAAATTTATTGTTAAACTTGGTAAGAGTGTAAGTGAAATCAGGGACTTGTTAGTTCAAGCTTATGGGGATAATGCCAATAAGAAAACAGCAGTGCACAAAAGGATTAAACGTTTTTCTGAGAGGAGAGAAAGCATCATTGATGAAGAGAAGACAAGGCAGCCAGCAACAAGCAGAACTGACAAAAACATTGCAAAAATCCATCAAATTGTGTGTCAAAATTGTCAGGTGACTGTGAGAACCATAGTAGATCAAGTAAAAATGGATAGAGAAGGGTTATGAAAGTCTTAACTGAAAATCCTGGCCAACAACTCATGGCTCTTGCATCATGTCAATGCACCACCTCACATAGCACTGTCTGGGAGGGAGTTTTTAGTAAACAAATGACTATATTGGAACACCCTCCTTAGTCACCTAATCTGGATTCAGATAACTTTTTTATTTTACCCAATGATAAAGGAAATATTGAAGGGAAGACATTTTAATGACTGACATTCAGGACATTAGGGATAATATGACAATAGCTTTGACGGCCATATCAGAAAAAGAGTTCCAAAATTGTTTTAAAGGGTGTACTAGGCATGGGCATTGGTGTATAGCTGCCTAATGGGAGTACTTTGCAGGTGACTGTAGTGCAATTCAGCAGTGAGGTATGTAGCACCTTTTCTAGCAAGAGTTCATGTACTTAACTGTCAAATCTCATATCCATAATATCACAGAATAAGGATGTAGGAGACCAGATGATTTAAGGGAAGGAGAAGTGAGAGTTAAGCTTTGAACGCTCTGAAACTATAAGAAACACCTGTGACATAGCATCTCGATAACCCCTTGGTGATAAGGACATGGGGAAGGGCTTCGGCTCTCCTTAATAGGAGAGCACGAGAGCACAGGCATCAGTGCTTGGCAGTCTCCACACCTGTGGTGCAAATAGCCACAGGATCACTTCTATAAGTAGCTGCAGGAGCGGTTAGTCTGGATTCATTCATTCTCTCATGGACTCACTCACTCTAACTCTTTTGTTCCTCCTGCTTGGAGGGTGCCTGCTCCGAGCCCTTCTATGAAGACTGCTAAGATTCGCTCTCCTAATAAGACTTTTTCTCTCCCTCTAAGACTGTTTCTCTCTCTCTTCTGCTAAGATGAATTGCCCTCCGGCACCTAAATGGACTTGATCCCGAGCAAGGTAGCACAGTGGTCCAAGTCCGGACAATTAGATAGGCCCGGGCCAGTGACCTGGCATCCCAGCCCTGACATAAGGAAACAGGTAATTGGGAAGACCAAAGGGGGGGAGAATGCCCAGAGTGGCCAGCAGTGGCTGAGAGAGCATGTTTGTGTTGGATGGCCGATAAGGATCTTCCAGAGTGGCAGAGGAGCCTAAGAAAGCAGCAATCATTGGAAGAAAAAAAAAAAACTGGACCTATGATTCCACTTTATTTAGTAAGTCAAGTTATGCTTTCAGACTGAAGACAGACATATACTTTCCAAATATTGAATTCAGCTTTATTGCTGGTCTGAGGTCTAAGTGCCAGGAGTTGGAAAGATTTGACAGACTTTTTTTGGTAGTCAAAATGTCGATAATTGTACTAATCTTAGACATCATAACCCAGTGTATATCCCTCACATTTGACTATTTTCCGTTACTTATGCTCTTCCCTAAAGTTCCCTTTAGCTTTTTTTCTGATAACAGAAGCTCACATCATGCTCTAGAGACCCTTGTCTTTGGTTTTGTCCTAAGCACATATTCTCTTATTATAAACATTCCACTGTGACTAAAATGATACCAAGTTAAATTTTACTGTCCTGATTCGGTATTCGATCTCAGTAGTTACTCTAATCACCAGAAAATAATCAGTAGCACAATCTAAAAACTCTATCATTTTCAATCCATAAAGAGATCAATTTGTGAAAAATCACTTTCAGTAACTAAATTCTGACAAAGCAGAGGAACAAAACTAGAATTCACTTAATTCAACTCGATAAAACTGCTCTGCTCCCCACCCCCAGGTAAGTTTTAACATCTGTTCATAAGCCAACATGTAAAAATAACAAAACTATCTCATTAACTAATCATATTAATCATATGGCTTGAAGCATTTTCAAATACAGAATTAAAATTCAATAGGTTAAAAAATATTTAACCCATTAGCAGTGGGTGGGGCATATAATTTCTTTTTGAGGTGAAGAAAATGTTCTGGAATTAGATAGTGGTGACGGTTACACAACCCGGCCAATATACTAACAATGCTGATTTATGTACTTTAAAAGGGTGAATTTTGTAGTACGTAAATTGCCTGTAAATTTAAAAAATTTTTTTCTTCAACTAAAATACTATTCAATATGAAAAAGTTACTAATCTCCCCCTGTAAACGAAATGATTAAAAATGATTGACTCTCACATAAATTCAAGCACATTATAAGATTATAGATTACAAATTCAAATGAAATGTAATTTGGTAAAATTATAGGTCTTAAATTTCAAGAGAAGTCTACATTTAAAAAAAAAACAGTATTTAGGACTGTCAAGAAAAGTGAGAAAGATAAACCACTTACAAAAAGTACTTAATGTCTGATTTTCTGAGTGATTAATTTTTCCTTAAAAGCATTTTGTAAAAGGTACATAATCAATTCATGTGGAGAAATCAAGCTGCTTTTACAATAATCTTTTTTTTTTAAAAAAGGTAAATGTACTAAACTTTCCTATGTATTCACTGCCTTGCTATAGGTTGGTTTTCATTTGAAATTTTACATGTTTACCTAAAATATGGGAGACACATATTAATGATAATCTGAAGTTTGATGGGCAGCAAGTTCCACTGTCAAGCCCATAGAGAAGGGGACCACAGAGTAAATAAACAAGATGCCAGGCTGGCAGGAGGAGTCAGCAGTGGTGTAAACTGACCGTCCCATTTTGCTCACGAAGGGACTGAGGTACAGAGAGGTGGTCAGCTGCCCAAAGTCAGTGGGCTAACAAAGCACAACGAGCGCTCAAGGTTACCAGAACAAGAACTGAAACATCTCATCGCGTCAGGCAAAGCCTGCAGCTAGCATTCTGCTCTGGGCATAGACTGGAGAGGAGAGGGCAGAGGAAGGAAGCTGGCAAGAGGGCGACCTGACACCCTGTCCCCACTAATGCTGAAATAAGTCTGTGTATGAACTTTGAACTGGGATTTCTGGCTGTGACTTGGTGTCGCAAGTGGGTTCCCTGCAACAGACAAGGGGGCCCCCTGCAGCACCTGCAAGGTATGCTCAGAAGAGTTAGAACCTTATAACTCTTATTTTTATTTACATTTCTTTAAAAAAAAAAAGCCCAAACCATAATTCTAACACAAAAGAAATGTACCTTTTTGATTTATTGCTTGTTCTTGGTCTGTATTCATGTGATTCATCCTCAATTCCGTTTTGCCTTTTATACCAGTCAAATAATGTCCGCAGAATGGAAGGCAGGCAGTACTCAGAAAGGGAGCTCATTGAGCTGATGACCTACAGAGAGAAAGGCAGGAGATTAAAAGGCTTTGGGGGCACTGCCAATTACTCAGAAACTTTTTATTTTCCAAATAACCCCAAGCACTCTTCACTACAAATTTTTCTTATTTATCACAGTTCTTTCTTTCATAACCTTTATGAGTATATTCCCCAGAGCCCAAGTCGCTTAATGCTGACAGATGTTCCTCATATAATAAAAATTTTGTGGTTCAAGAATGTTAATTACTTTGACTCCTTTCATTCCAGAAATCAGATGTTAATTGCATACAGGTTATGAAACTGCAAAGAAATTATGTTTTCACATTCACTTACTACAATACACTTCTTAAGTCCTCAAAAATACTTACAGAAATAAATATATTAATATAATTACATAAATTGTGTAAGTTAAATAAGCGAACATATCCCTTCCAAATAACCTAAGTGGTAATAACAATTTATTTTTTGGGGTTTTTTTGCTAATAATCATCCATTGACTTGAGGTATGCCCCAAATTAGACTCAAGATATGAATGGGCAGCAATAGCTTACCCTGTATTAAAAGCAAATTTATTACTTCTTTAAACAACAAACATGCCTTTGATAGACTCATGATTCTAATTTTCTTTTCTTTATTTATTTTTTTATTGTTGGGGATTCATTGACTGTACAAGAAATCAGGTTACAACGATTGCAGTTGTTAGGTAAAGTCCCTTTTATAATTGTGTCCTGCCCCCAAAAGTTTATTCTAATTTTCTTATCTGGAAAGATTCCTGATCTTTTACTAATTACCACAAAAATATCAACCTTAATAAAGACCTTATGCCATCTGCAAATATTAAGTCAAAATGTGTCAGAAATCTAATATAAAACCTAAAGGTATAAAACGGCTGAAGAAAACATAGGAGAAAATCTTTGTGATTTTTGGGTTAGGCATGGATTTCTTAGTTATCACCCCCAAAGCAAAGCCCATGTCAAAATATGATATACTGAAAGTCATCAAAATTAAATTTTGGTTTTAGAAAGATAATTGTTAACAAAGTGATAAAGGACAAGCCACAGACTGGGAGAAAATATTTGCAGAACACACATCTGATACCGGGCTTGTAGCCAGACTACATAAAACTACAAGGAGACAGGTTTTAAGTATCTAGTTAACAAACCAAATAAGTAAATTGTGATGCCCCGTGCTAATGAGAAGTGACAACACGGACATGTTCATACACTGCTGACAGAAGGTATAATATATCTGGAAGGTAATCTGGAAATACATACCAAGGACCTAATAATGATCACTTTCAAGCAGGCCACTCTTAGAACTTATCTCAAATACATAATTAGAGCTGAGTAAGAAATGCTCAGGGCAGCATTATTTGAAGAAAAGGAAAAGGAAATAACCTAAATATCTTACTGTATGTAAATGCCTTTAAAAGATATGGAATTTACTGGGGACTATTTATTCAACCATTAAAAATCACATTTCAAAAATATTTAATAACACAAAATGGTCATATAAGTAGAAAAGGAATGATGAAGTATTTAATTGGTATGATCTCAATTTGGTATAGACACTATATGAATATACAGAAAATAAGACCAAGAGGAAATAGACTTAGAGTGCCTGTTTAGACCAAGGGTCTCAGGAGAGAGAAACCACGAGGGAGAGGTCAGTAGGCGTTTAAGAGAAATGAAGGTAGGATTCTAGCTGGGCCTTTTATCTAGCCTTTAGAAAGGACAGAACTTTGAGATGAGAACCAAGGTAAAAAAAAAATAAGCAGAGACCTGAAGAAAGCAAGCCTATAGTAATGAAGGCACAAAATAACTGTTGATAACAATTATAATAATCAGTGTGATGAAGGTTTTATGTGACCTTAAAGAAGAAATGTCTGGTGGGTAAGAGTTTGGTTTGCCAGCATGAAGGAACATTTTTCATCTTTAGAAAATATTTTTGCGGGCAGCACCTGTGGCTCAAAGGAGTAGGGCGCCAGCCCCATATGCCGGAGGTGGCGGGTTCAAACCCAGCCCCGGCCAAAAACTGAAAAAAAAAAAAAAAAAATTTTTTTTTTTGAGTAGGGTTATAAGCCCACAGAAATGGGGAGGTTTAATCTAGCAGTGAGTGGTGTGGAGGAGAACGAACACACACACACACACACACACAAATCTAGCAGTGAGTGGTGTGGAGGAGAACGAACACACACACACACACACACACACACACTTGAATTGCTTGAGGTTCTTACAATGGTTTCACACATGTAGTGATCTCGGCCTAAGCCAGAGAGATGGCAGAAGGAGTGGAAATCCTTAGTTAACTTAAAATATTGCTGCAGTTAAGCAGGCCAGGCCTAACTTCCTTTTATAAAACTGGAAATGAAAGCAAAGGAACTAAAGTGCTTCATGTCAACAGGATTTTCCACTGTCACCTTTTAAAGCAGCCTGAGATTGAACATTACTTTATCCTCAGATTCGCCCTCTTCATAGTCTATTTCATGCTGTCTCTCCTACAATGATAGTTATATGCACATAAACAATATTGTATATTGTCTTTATGGGTTACTTACTAAAATAAGTAACCCATATTAATCCATAACTAAAAATAAATAGGCTATTTTATCCATTGAATTTGACCTGCCCTGTGAACCTAGTCAACATTAGGGTTTTTTTTTTTATTGAAAAACAGTCTAATTATGTTAGGAAGGAGCCCTACTTTTCCTGACTCCAGTAACAGCCACAGTGAAGATGACATATTTTCCTGCTGGTGGATATAAATAACAGAAGTAACTTTTTGGAAGAAGGATCATCATAGTGTGTCAAGGGAGTAATTTACGAATTCTTTCTAAAGTTATCCCAGCATCATCCAAAAATGCTTTGAATGAGGAAATGTAGGGGTTCCTTCCACAGAGGAAAAGGGGTCAAGATTCAGTCTGACTAGGGCTTAAGTTTCTTAATTATTGCATATGTAATATAATCCCAAAGCGCCTACTATTGTATTTCAGTAATTTAAAAGTATTTGTGTTACTCTGGAGGCATCTATGGGGTCATGATGACTAAATGTTAATGTGGTGTCCTGGAAGGTTTCTTGGAATGGAAAATAGATATCAGGGAAAAAAAAAGAAATACAAATAAAGTCCAGCGTAGAGTTTAGCTAACAATAATGTACCGATATTGGTTTCTTAATTGTCTAATGCGCTATGGTAATGTAAGATGTTAGCAGCAGGGGAACCAGCAACTGTCTGGACTATCTTTGCAACTCTTTTGTAAATCCAAAGCTATTCTGAAATCACAAGTTTATTAAAAAATACTTATGTGAGATATTTAAAAGGTCCATTATGCACTACATAATTTCTCTCTTCTTAAAAGAGATAGAAACTACACAATATCTCTATCTATAAAAGAGATAGAAACTTATGACTTTTGACTCCTAAAGTATCTTGAGGTAGAACACACAATGTTCAGCTACTGCACTCAGGTGGAATCCCCATTCTCCCTTCAGAATGTCTGGAGTGTTCATCAAATTACTATAATACAGTTTTAAATATTTTTTTTCTGTCAATTAAAAAGTCACCCCGAAGCCATTCTTGGTATTAGATCTACTGGGCGCACTTTTCATGGCAAAACAGTGAGACCATCTCAGAAAGGATGAAAGGTCAGCATGGGGTGGATGTGTGTGTTTTTCCATCTTTCTGTGACTGCCCTTTTGAGCCCAGACTTTCAGGAAGGAAGGGTGGAATTTGCAAAGACCTGGCCCTCAAAGCTCAGGAAGGGAGGAAGGTCTAGCTGGCTTCTTGGTTACTCAACTCCTTCATTTACGGGAAGCAGAGCCAATGGTGAGATGAATTCTAGCTCTGTGCTGCTGCTCAGAGGAGGCAGGCCCATTTACAAAGCTGTTCTTGTTGCGTTTAAATGATCATATTCTTCCACCACAGATGAGCTAGGTACTGGGGAGCATGAAGGGATGAAGTGCACAGAATTGCAGAATTATTTCATACTGATGTTTTCTATTTTGAGGGGGACAGAGAGGAATACTGAATGTACTTCATAAATGTTTTAATGTTTACTTTGGCGTTTTATGTATACATAGGCTAAAAGAGACTGTTATGCTGTAGTTAAGACAAGGATTTCTCATAAGCATTTTATTTTACTTACTAAATACAAAAAGGAAAACTTCACACATAAATATTTGAATAATTATTCAATGGAGTCATTCCATATTTTACAGTAATAAGGCTAACTTCTCATAAATGGTGCATTTAACAAATAACTTTAAAGGAACTCCACTGATGGTCTGATTTCTCAAATTCCCATGGTCAAGTAACTTTTGGGACATGCTACTTACTGCATAAGACCATGAAGTACTAGTATACTAAAGTAATTTGAAATGCTATTTATTTCTCCTTGGTCACATATCAGATACAATATCTAGATTATAATATTCGATGAATAATGGTAGACAACAAAGATTTAAGCACAGTTTATTATAAAACCTTAAAATTATTTAATATAAAACTCCATATATTACATATATCTTTTCGTGCCAATTATGGAAAGATCAGTATTTGACTTTGATAAATTGATCTATTTTACAGAACACAGTGTTCCCCTGGAGAATGATTTACGAAATTCTGACTAACATTAATATAAATCCAATGCCAGTTAATTTATTTTTACTCTTTAACTGCTTACATTTTTAAAATTAATTATTAATTAATTAATTAATTATTTTTGAGACAGAGCCTCAAGCTGTCACCCTGGGTAGAGTGCTGTGGCATCACAGCTCACAGCAACCTCCAACTCCTGGGCTCAAGCAAGTCTCCTGCCTCAGCCTCCCAAGTAGCTGGGACCACAGGTGCCCGCCACAACGCCTGGCTATTTTTTGGTTGCAGCCGTCGTTGTTTGGCGGGCCCGGGCTGGATTCGAACCCGCCACCTCGGGTGTACATGGCTGGCACCTTAGCCACTTGAGCCACAGGTGCCGAGCCAATTTATTTATTTTTAAGACAGAGTCTTGCTCTGTTGCTCT